TATCTCCAGATCACTTTATCCCCAGATTCACGCAAGACACAACTTTTATATCTTTTTTTCAACTCCACATTACCCACCTCATGCGTGCCACTTCATTACACTGATCCTTAGAGTGCCATTTTTCTTTACGTTTAATAAGATATAACTTGCATATGGTAAAATTTATCCTTCTCAGTGTATAGATCAAAAAGATTTTGATGGATGTATGCAGTCGTGTAGTCACCACAATCAAGACATGGAACATTTCCATCAGCACAAAAACTTCCCTTGTGCCCCTTGGCAGTCAGTTCCCTCCCCCAGCTCCAGCCCCTGGCAACCATTAATCTGATTTCTATCCTTATAGCCTTGCCTCTTCCAGAATGTCATATAAATGGAATCAAACAGTATGTAGACTTTCATGTCTGACTTCTTTCATTTAGCATATGCGTTTGAGATTCATCCACGTTGTTTCACGTCTCAGTAAATTTATTCCGTGTTTCAGTAGTTTGTTCCTTCTTATAGCTGAAAAGTTTTCCATTGATAGATGTACCACAATTTGTTTATCTATTCAGCAGCTGACGGATATTTGAGTTATTTCTAATTTTTGGTTACTATGAATAAAGCTAACACATTTGCATATACATCTTTATATGAACATGTGCTTTCATTTCTCTTGGGTAAATACCTGGCAGTGGGATTGCTGGATTGCGTGATAAATTTATGTTTAATTTTCTGAGAAACTGACAAACTTTTCCAAGTGGTTGTACAAGTTTGCATTCTCACTGGCAATATATGATGAGTGCTAATTTTAACACAGTCTTCTTTGCAAACTTCTTTGAATTTCTCCACTGACTCTTCCCTACATTTCCCAGAAAGCTTGTTATATTGGTGATAATGATACTTTATTTTTAAAATATGAGGTGTATTTACTGAAGTGTAGCATATATACAGAAGAGGACACACATCACAAATGTATGACTTGATGAATTTTCACAAAGTAAACACAGTTATATAATCACCATCCGGATCAAGAAAGACTGCTACCAGCACCCTAGCCCATCTCATGTGCCCATTCCTAGTCACTCCCTCTCTTCCTCAAAACTGAGAGTTCCATGGTGGCCTAATGCTTAGGATTCCAGGTTTTCATTGCCGTGGCCCGGGTTCAATCCCTGGTCAGGGGACTGAGATCCTGTATAGCTGCACAGCAAGGCAAAAAACCAAACAAAACCAAAAAACTAACTACATGCTACTCTGAATTTTAATAATATAGATTCATCTTGCTGGTTTTGAACCTAATAAATATGGGATAATACAGAGTGTACTCATCTTTGTCTGCTTCTTTTGCTAGACGTTATGTTGGACAAGGTCACCCACATTGCTCACATAGCAGTGGGCCATGAATTTTCATGCTCTATGATACTACAATTTATTCATCCTACTGTTGATGTACATTTGGGCTGTTTCCAGTTTGGAACTTGTAAAAATAAATGCTGCTCTGGCCATCTTCATAATAGCTTCGAACTGGAAACTATCCAAATGCCCATAAATAAGAGAATGGATAATCAAATTGTAGTAAGATCATATGATAAAATACTACTCAGCAATAAAGACCAAACCACTGACATATGCAATATCATGGATAAATCTCAAAAACATTATGTTAATTGAAATAAGCCAACACTAAAGAATACATAACGTATGATCTCTTCTTGATGGAGCCTGAGAATAGGCAAAACTAATCTGTAATGATAAAAATCAGACAGTGATTTCTGGGGATGAGGAGAATTGATTAGAAAGGAACACAGCCTGGACTTCCCTGGTGGCGCAGTGGTTAAGAATCCAACTGCCAATGCAGGGGACACGGGGTCGAGCCCTGGTCCGGGAAGATCCCATATGCCGCGGAGCAACTAAGCCCGTGTGCCACAACTACTGAGCCTGCTCTCTAGAGCCCGCGAGCCACAACTACTGAGCCCATGTGCCACAACTACTGAAGCCTGCGCACCTAGAGCCCATGCTCCACAACAAGAGAAGCCACTGCAATGAGAAGCCTGTGCACTGCGACGAAGAGTAACTCCTGCTCGCTGCAACTAGAGAAGCCTGCGTGCAGCAACGAAGACCCAACAGAGCCAAAAATAAATAAATTTAAATAAATAAATAAAAATAAAAAAGACATTGGTGACTTACAAAAGAAAAGCATCTCTTAAAAGAAAAAAAAGAAAGGAACACAGCCTGAGGAAACTTCCTTGGGTAACAGTGAAAGTGTTTTATTTCTCAGTTTGGATGGTTGTCACGTGGGTATATACAAATGTCAAAATTCATTGAAATGAACACTTAATACCTGTGTACTCTATTGTGTGTTAATTATGATGAAATAAAAATTAATACAGAGAAATGCTGCTTAGTCGTAAAAAATGCTGTCATGAACTTTCTGATACTTGGTTTTTGGAACACATATGGATGCACATCTGTTGAGTATACAGGTAGGAGTAGAATTGCTGGGTCATAGAATATGTATGAATCATGACTCTGCAATTTAATAGCTGGATGACATTGGGCAAGTGCCCAGAACCTCTAGAGAACACCAGTTTCCTTATCTGTTACCAAGGAGCTAATCTCACCTTGATGGGTTCGAACCATGAAAACTGTTTTTGTCAATTAGCAAAAAGACATAATGCTGAGAAACCTCATTTTCTAAAAGCACTGCTTTTTCAGAAAGTTTGCTATTTGAAATATCAGTAAGAACGGAATATTCCACTCTCGCCTGGAGGATCTGAGTTACTTTGACACAGAGAAGCAGCCTCAATTTCCAACCCAGGTGCAGAGCTTCAGATAAGGGGTTTCCAGATACAGCATTCCACATTTATCTTCACGCTGTAGTTTCCAAGGAAACAGGATTCTGAATCTTCTTGTTAGCTCAGGCCTGACGATAATCCCTTTACACATAGCCTGGTGTGCTTTGAGGCTATCAAAAACACTGCTTCTTTTAAATTTTACCTACACTCCATCTTTCCAAATCCTGGAATAATTCTCTCTCTCCTGTGCTTGGTGAGATACCCCATGATTCCTCTGGTGTGTAGTCCCCCTTGCAGCAGTAAGTTAATAAACCTAACTTTGTCAGACCATATAAAGATAAAGCCACTTTATCAGATGGGCTTTATCTTGGGTATTACCAATAACTTCGTAAAATGTGTTCACATTACCTGGATGGACATTAAGAAATGATAGTTATTTTTTATTATTCATGTATAAATTCAATATATGTTCATTTGACATCTAGTATTTGCGAGGCACAAATGTATTGCTATGAGAGATAGCACAAGATAGCCATGGCACAGATGGAAAACCACTTTTTATTTTAGCTGGAGAAAGAAACCAACAATAACAACCACCACTATGTTTTCAATCCTAGGAGAAAAATACCTTTACTGAACTTCACTTTAAATAGAATCAAATGTAAATGAAAACATTCTCAAGACTATTTTATAGGTAAAAAAGTACAATGTACACGATTTACTATAAGATAGGACATAAAACTATGGATTCTAAGAAATCGTATGGTTTTAATAACCAGAATGAGAGGACCCAAATGTCGTCTGACCTTTTCTAAAGAGAAAAAATTGCTCTTATAAACGCTCCAACGAAAAATAGAGACAGCATTGCTTACAAAAGCTCTAAGGCTGAATGCAGGCTCATTCACCCATTTAGGGTCCCCTCCTACACAGGCAAGCAGCTTCCTCTCTTGGTCATTCCCCAGAGATTGCAAAGCAGACTGGAGTGAAGTGGGGTGGAGAATACAGGAAACAAACACTGCCAGTTCCCCTTCACTTCTCTCTATCTTGATCTCCTCCCAAAGCAAAATCCTACTCTTGTCTTTCCATCTAACATACGCTCACAAAATGCAGTCTTCTATGGGAACATTGAGGTCATACACTCCAAATTACTTAAGAGAATGATTTTAAAAATTTGACAGTCTAGTTCTCCAAGAAATCCTGGTTTGGGATATAGATGAAGAAGTTATTTGGGAGGGATTTAGATGGAGAATGAATTTGGTAATATGAGAATGCGTTTTAGGGACATAGCAAGATGACAATACAATTAGCTTAGTGTTTGGGTTTTGCAGTCAAATCTCAGAAAAACAAATTAACCTCTATGGTCTTAACTTTCTCAACTGTAAAAGGGAAAATAATAATGCTTGCTCTGTCGAGTTACTTTACTTCAACATTAAAAAAAATCGATTGTCCGTTATCTAGTCTGAAGGTAAAAATATAGTTAGAACATCGTCCCTTGCTGTGAAAGAGCTTATGAACAACTGAATTGCAGTGAGGGGATCACAAATAATACGTGCTCAAGAAATCTTATTATTATCATTTTATTGTTTAGACTAGAAGAGGGGTGGAGGGAGAAATGAAAGTAATTTGTAAACCATAAAAGTGCACTCCAATAAAGATGTAAAAAAAATAATAAATAATAATAAAAAAAAGTGCTCCACAAATCCTAACAAAGCCCTAGAGGATGGAAGCAGAGTGAGGAATTTCAGGAGTTTGGTTACGGATCTGGGTTTCAAGGCTGTCGAATTCTCCATATTTGGGCCTGAATGCTCAGAATAGAACAGAATAGGATGTTAGGGCTGAGATCATCTGGTACAATTTTATGCTAATCGAAAAATTCTTGCCTTCTGTCACCGTGCCCTGGCGATAAACAACACCGCCACCTCAGATTCTCCAATCCGAGCCCCAATGGTATGATGTCATCGCCCCGCCCCGCATCCCCAAGCTCCAGGGCGTCACGTCTCTAAGCTACCGTGCCTACACCAGTTCCAGAGGCGCCTGCGCAATGTGGGGGAGCCAGGGCGGACGTGAGCGCGCTGCGAGGGGGCGGGGCTAGCGCTCACGCAGCTTTAGCCCCTTCCCCGCCCTTTCTCTTCCCGGTTTCCCTGTCAGCCTGCTGGTCGGGTCTGGCGGCTGCTTCCGGTAGGAGCGCGGTGCAGGGCGAGTCGGTCTCGGCTCCTCGTCATGTCCTACGGTCCCTTAGATATGTACCGGAACCCGGGGGCCTCGGGGCCCCCGCTCCGGGACTTCAACAGCATCATCCAGACGTGCAGCGGCAACATCCAGCGGATCAGCCAAGCCAGTGAGCCGGGGTACCGGGCTGGAGGGCGGGGGCCGTCCCGGGGACAGGCCCGGGTGAGGCTGCCGGGACGCGGAGCCCGGCTAGGGCTACGGCCAGGGCCACACCTGAGGCCGTCTTGGGTGCTCTACTCTGGGTACGGCGGGCTGCTATCCCTGAGTCTGCCAGGCCCAGGCACCCCGAGGGTCCGGAGCCCCAGCTGCAGCTCGAGTTTCTTAGGAGTTCTGCTCTTACCGTGTTGGGGCCAAGACAGCAGTCCTGACAGCCGCAGGGTGGGAGGGTGTGTGTGTGTCCCCTCCAGGCAGTGAATGAGTCGACTGGCTCCAGTGGTCAGCCTAGTTTTTCCTGTCATCTGCCTCCCTCCACCCACCTCTCTTTCCTCTTTGGCCAGCTTGGATCGGGAGCTGTTTACTGGTTTAGACTTTACATTCTGCTGAGCTTCTGGCTTCTTGGAAGTCAGAACCTTTCAATTAAGGGAAGTGGAGAGTGCATGTGTTTTGGTGACTTTAATACAGTTCTTCCTGTAAGGAATTTGGAAATCAGATACAATGACTTGGATTCGAGGGGTGAGATGACCTCTACTTTAATAAAGAGAATTCACCAAAAACATTTTAGTTTACATTCTTTTGTCTTTTGTAGCAAAAGATTTGCATATATTTTTGGATTTCAAGCCAATGAGGCTTTTGTTTTCCTTCCCCACCTAGTTACTCTTTTGAACAAGCATGATACACAGAGAAGCTCAGGGACATGGCCACAATCACATAGCAAGTAAGACATGGTAGAGGTGGTGGTGGATTTCAGAATGTCATTGCTTGTCTTAAAACTCCCTCCCCACCATTAGGGTCTGAATGATACTATAGTTGAATGAGTCAAATACACGTTATTCCTTGTGCCTGAAAATTAGCTCAGAGCCTTATAAACAGGAGGTCAGCAGCAGCAACTACTTGGAAAGAATGGTATCATGATCCTTGTTGTTTATTATTGTGTTTTTGTGAGCTTGGCTGTACCCTGTTAATAGGTACAACTAGTTGGTCCTGAATTACAATTATGTTCTATATTTTAAAGAACAATCTATCACTTAGCTTTTAAATTTAAATATATAATGAGAGAGGGAAGTTTCTGATGGAAAGCGTTTGAATCTGGGCACTTTGGAAGTGGAAAAAAGAATATGTGGTCTGTTAAATCCAGAAATTTGAAACAAAAATTAATGTGACCACTGGTTAGAAAGTATAGTACTTTGTGTTCCAGTTTCCTTTGTGAGGGAGCTGTAATACAGGTTAGATCAGAATATTCTGGTTCAATACTGAAAGTTTCTTATTGAGGCCAAATATAATTTTAATGTCTATTTGTGAAATTTTCATTCTGCATGTATTTGAGTATGAGGCATGTAGTATGTATAGGAACTGACATGGATTCCTTCAATAGGGAACCTGTGGCGTACATAATGACTGAAAGGGATCGCTACTATAGAATAGATATAATAAAATTATAGATATTCAGGAGAGAAAGACACCTTTTTCACTTGGGAGAGGCCAGGGAAATGCATTATTGGCATTTGAGCTAGGTCTGGAAAGATGGTGGAAAGTATTTGAACTTTCGAGAGTAAAGAAGGGAAGAGCATTCCAGGAGGGAATAAAATGAACAAGGCATGGTAGTGGGAAAGCATGTGGTGTGTATAGAAAAGTAGAGTGATTTAATTTGGCTAGACTGGTGGAGTCCAGAAAGTAGTGGAAAATAGGATTGGAAAGGTAAGTTGGGGCCCAAACATGAAGTGCTTTAAGTGCTACACTAAGGGGGTTTGGATATAATTCTTTAGAAATGTGTAAATTGAGTTGGAAGGGAGAGAGACTGGAATCAGAGACACCAGTTAGGATCTGAAAATGAAAAGAAGGAAAGGATAGGAGAGGTGTCTGGTGATAGAATTGTTAAGGTTTAGCTGTTGATTAGGCATCAGGCTCAAGGGATAGTTGGATTCATTTCATTAATAACATTAATAGCTAACATTTGAGTACATACTGTATGCCAGGCAATATAAGTGCTTTACATGCATTCTCTTAATTTCGTAACAAACCTGTGAGGTAATTACCAATATTATTTCTTTTTATGGGTTAGGAAACAGGCTGAGAAAGGTTAAATAATTACCCAGCTTACAAATGGCAATACCTAAATTTGAAACCAGATCTGTCTCTTATGACCAGCATTCAGCCTTTTTATAATTTTTAATTAATATTACAGTTTTATAACAGTTAACACTTCAAGTTACAAGTGACTTTTCTTTCTTTTTTTTTTACTCTTCATAGGAAGCTATGGGGAATACCTGAGGCTGTGGAACTTTCTCTTCTTGTGGTGTGTCTGCCTCTCCTGCTAGATTGTTAGTTCCTTTGAAGAAATGGGACATGACTTATTCATCTTTATATTTCTAGTACTTATCTCAGACCCAAGTATATGTTAGATTCATTCATTCACTGTTCAACAAATATTCTATGAGCACCTGCTGAGCACTGGGGCTGGAGTGATGAGCAGGACAGACAAAACCCTGCCCTGATTGTGTGTATGTGTGTGTGTTTGTGTATGTGTACGTATACACACATATGCATATATAAACAATATTGAGAAATAATAAGTGCTATGAAGAAAAAAATAAGGGGACAGAGAGTGAGGAGAGCAAGAGGGTGGGTGTGCTATTTTATATTTTTACATCAGTTGGTCAAGGAAGGCCTCTCTGAGGGGGTGATGTTTGAGTAGACACCTGAATGAAGTGAGGGAGGGAACCTCGTGAGTAGCTGGGGGAAGGCATCCTAGGCAGAGGGAATAGCAAGAGCGAAGACCTCAGTGCTTTCAAGAATAGCAAGGAGACTAGTGTGGCTGGACTGCAGTTAGAGAAGGGGAGCGTAGTAGGAAAAGAGGCCAGGGAGGTAGCCAGGGATCATATCATTTAGGGTCTTGATGCTTAGTAAATTGTATTTAGTAGATTTGAATGAATGAGGTTTCTCTACCATCTTGGAACTCTTCCTGACTCATTTACCTTGTGCTGTGTGGTTCCTACCACATCTTATGACCCTAGTCAGTGTGAGTTGGAATTCTCCCCTTGGGATTGTTTACTGAGGCACTGGGAATTTGAAATTGGTAGGGTGACATTGCTTCTACCCACTTATCAGGCTGGTGCCCATCCCCCAGACGTGGCCAGCATACCTAAGTATACAGTCTGAATGTGACCTCCCAGACATATGCCCACATCCATAAAGTCCTGCAAGGACCTGTATCTATTGAAAATTTGAGAGAATAGCTATTCTTTTTTTCTCAACTGTGGGTTTTTTCACATATGTGGGTTTGGAATTGCTGAGCATATCAGCCTGAAATACGGCAGGCCACTGCATGGGTTGTTATAGGTACAGCTAAGGTTGACTGCCTGGTACAAGGGGTTGTTACCAGTATGTGTGGGCTACAGAAGAAAACTGCTTGACTCTGTCTATTGTGAAACAAAGGGTCTGGGCAAGTATTGCTGAGGCAGATATAAGGAAATAACCTTAACAGGCGCCAAGTTATCTCTGAAGAGATTTAAAGAACATCATTTCTGTTCTTTAACGTTGCTAATTTTTTTTAAAAATTTATTTATTTATTTATTTTTGGCTGTGTTGGATCTTCGTTGCTGCGCGCGGGCTTTCTCTAGTTGCGGCGAGCGGGGGCTACTCTTCGTTGCTGTGTGCAGGCTTCTTATTGTGGTGGCTTCTCTTGTTGCGGAGCACAGGCTCTGGCGTGCGGGCTTCAGTAGTTGTGGCACGCGGGCTCAGTAGTTGTGGCTCACGGGCTCTAGAGCGCAGGCTCAGTAGTTGTGGTGCATGGGCTTAGTTGCTCTGCAGCATGTGGGATCTTCCTGGACCAGGGCTTGATCCGATGTTCCCGGCATTGGCAGGTGGATTCATAACCACTGCACCACCAGGGAAGCCCAACGTTGCTAATTTATTGATATGGTTCTGTTTACTAAAAAGATGAAAAGCAGTTGAACTTTTAAAACTGATTATCGTGTGCAATCCTCTGGGTTGTTCTTGCAGAGTTATTTTCATATTGGCCCCTTGCTCTTTATTTCATTGTCCTCCTCATAAGTCTTCATGATCTCAGCCTCTGTCGTCCAGCAGCATAGTCTCAGTGTCTCTGTTCCCATTCTAGTTCATCCTGATAAGGCTATCAGCAGTTTGTCTAAAGTCCTGTTTTCATTATACCACTCACCTCCTCAAGAGCCTATGGCGGCTCTCTGTTGTCTGCTGTATCAGATCTTAACATTCCACCTTGCTTTCACTGTCTCTGTCATCTTAACCCAAATTAGCCATATTTTCTACTTCTCTTTGTTACAGGCAGGCTGTTTTTCTTAACATCCCTAAACACGGGGTTTTGCTGCAAGTTTTTGCTCTTTCTGTTCCTCCTTTCTTTAATCTTTCCCTATCTCACTAGCTACCTAAATTATAAAAATCCTTTGAGTTGCGCTTAAATCCTGCCCCTTGTAACTAAGCCTTCCTTTGCTTTTGAAAGAGTGAAGTCAGGAAGAGCCTGGGCCTTAAGCTCAGTAGATCTGTGACTGAGTCCTTGCTCCTCTGTGTTGTACTGTTCACCTTGGGCAGGCTAGTTCCCCTTTCTGTCTGTTACCCCATATGTAAAATGAATGGTGTTGTTAAAGTGGGATGTTTGAAAGTGCCTAGTCTAGTGCCCGGTACATAGTAGACATTCAGTAAATGGTGATATCATTGGTTGAGCCCCCTGCTCCACTATAGTTTAGTAGTTAAGTGAGCAGGCTCAGGAGTCAGACTGCCTGAGTTTGAGTCCTAGATCTGCTTCTTACTAACTATGTAAACATATTGCTGTACCTCTCTATTTCACAGCTTCCTCATCTATAAGATGGAGTTAGTGATAGACTCTACTTCACAGGATTGTGAGAATTAAGTGAGGTAATTTATATAAAGTGCTTAAAGCAGTGCCTGCAACATTGTTTAAGAAATGTTAGCTATCAT